ACCATTAGCCTTACTTAGATGTATGGAAATATTGATGCATTTTTCGACAGTATGTGGAATATGAAACACACTCCCCTTTGGTCCAACTTCTCAGAGTTTTCGTTGTTGTGAAAATAGATTCGATGAATTGATGGTTCTGATTTTCTCGTTTCATAAAACCAAGTAAAATTGCCTACAGCATGGGTAGCGTGGCCGAGCGGTCTAAGGCGCTGGATTAAGGCTCCAGTCTCTTCGGAGGCGAGGGTTCGAATCCCTCCGCTGCCATCTTTATGAATCCGCATCTTTTCCTGTGATCGGCCGCCTTCAGGGCGTTCTTACATAGTTCAGTAAACCCTCGTCAAAACGGATTTTGGCTACAACGGACTGTTTCTGCTATTCTAGTTAGAAGCACACCAGAAGACCATCAGCCTGAATTTTTCATTGTAGAATAGTATCGGAAGAAAAAAACACGTGGAGCTCCGATGACATCTTTTGGCTAAAAATAGCAATGTGCCAAGCCGCCATGTAGCTTACTGAAAGTATGTGGAATATGGAACACACCCCTGATATTGGTGAAGTTAACTTTGTTCCCAGAAAACCATGGCACCAGGAAGCACAAGAACTGGAGGTTTGTTGGTGGCATAGTGGTAAGCTGTGAATCTTGAACTTTCGTTGGTCCTGAAGACCATCTTTAATTATGTGTAATCTGCTGCCAAAACAAAGTCATGATCACTTACAAATAACCAAGTTGAAGAATATTACATATTTGTAGCTTTGGTTAAGGTTCCCATAACTCCACAAATTGCATATACAGAAGTTGTGGTTAGTCGTTAGTTGATCAGTTAACATTTATATCACAGTGTATAAGTGAATTCCACGGTTGGAGAACCTGTGGTTGGCGATGGATTATTGTACTTAAAGAAGTCCTCTCCTGCCCTTCAATGTTCCCAGGAAACCGGAACAAAGGCAACACAATGACTGATGTAGATGCATTGGTGGTATAGTGGTGAGCATAGCTGCCTTCCAAGCAGTTGATCGGGGTTCCATTTCCGGCCAATGCAAAATGCTTGAGTTTTCATTGGCCCTGAAGACCAACTTCAATTATGAGTAACCTGCTGCCTAAACTAAGGCATGATTACTTACGAACACTTGGCAAATCTAAGCACAGGTAAGTCAGAAAAGGGAAACTAGCTGGTAGAAGGCATTATGAAACAAATGCAATACAGGACAACTTAAAGAACTGAGTGGTCCTTCAAAACCATTTTAAACAAAGGCATCATGTTAACTTTCTGTAGCCTTGCCACACTGCACACACAGGCTAAAGACTGGACTGTCTTCAATAAAGTACAGAATTACAGCAAAGAAGAACAGCCAAAAAAGCTCCCAGCTCCAGATTGTGTTATACAGAAATACAGAGAGAGTTTTAGGGTGATATGTGCCCTATTATGTATGGTGAAAACCAAACATGGCAGTCTGCAGAGAGAACCTCACACCATTAGGCATGGGGATAGTGACATAAGTTAAGGCTCCAGTCTTTTCGGGGGCGAGGGTTCGAATCCTTCCACTGCCATTGTATGCTTAATATTGTCCTAATGTTAGTAAGCACACTGTGGGTGTCCTTACATTGCACATATGCTCCTAAAAAACTACAATGAACAAGAACTGGAGGTTTATTGGTGGCATAGTGGTAAGCTGTGAATCTTGAACTTTCGTTGGTCCTGAAGACCATCTTTAATTATGTGTAATCTGCTGCCAAAACAAAGTCATGATCACTTACAAATCATGTTAACTTTCTGTAGCCTTGGTGAAAACCAAACATGGCAGTCTGCACAGAGAACCTCACACCATTAGGCATGGGGATAGTGACATGGTTTGAGGACCGGGCAGACTGCTCATTATCAAAAGAACCATGAATGTTGTTCTGTATCAGAGAATTGTACAAGAGAATATCAGGCCATCTGCCCATGAGTTGAAGCTCGGCCACAGCTGGGCCATGCAGCAAGGCAGTGATCCACAACACACAGGCACAGACAGACATGTGTGGAAACATACACACACATGTGCACACACACATGCACATTCAGTATACATACACATATGTGTATGTATGTATATGCATGTCCAGATTTTGTTGTGTACACTTACTACTAAGTACACCATGCAAAATATTAAGTTCCTGCCATTAACATTGTTTTTGTTATGTCTTTCTGAACCCATGGGGGGTACCATCAATTACATTATTCTTAAAGATGAGATGGTTAAGGCAAGAATATCACACTTCTGCAGTGCCTTGAATCCTAGTAATATTCATATGCAGACATTCAATATAAAACTACTTTCACAGTGCTTGATATAAAAATACTTTTTATAAATTATTATATTATATATTTCATATATATTATCTCATATATTATTTTTATATGTGTACTACCACTTTGAAAGTCTTGAATGTGGGTAAGATTACATAATTATTGATGAAAACTGTGTCTCCATAGATTCTTTTCAGGTCTATTCAGTTTTTGATAATGTATGTTCATGTTACAGGGATGGCCAGCTCAAATTTGTCATTTCCCAACTGAATTTGAATGGGCATTTTGCATCATCTTGAAGTATGACATATTACTAAATAACATAATTATAACCAAATTACAACAAAGTTGCATTGTCTGTACTCTCAGAAATTCATACCTAATGGATTACCCTGTTCTCAACAAGCTGTTTTCAGTGGGCGGGGTAAAAAGATCTTAAGTTTTGTTCTTTGCCCCCTTGTTTCCTCATTTTGCCTAGCAAGTTTTGAAATGCAGTAACTGTGTTCTCACTAGGCATTGCTTCCCAGCATGTCCCACTACCAAGGTGGCAAAGTATTTTGTATCATTCCTGGACACAGATACAAGAGTATAGAACTTATTCAAATGCTACATTATTCAAATGGACCTCCTACATACATTACCTTACGGTAACTCCACCTCAAATTTTATGTGTTTTGCTCATTTCTCAAAAGATTTTTTCACGAATTTACATCAGAAGAGATTTGGGCTAGCCAAAAATTAGACCTTTTCTGCTTTGCCATCTCTCCCTCCTTTCATATTTACATCAGTTAGTTTTATAGTGCACTGTATGCAGTTTCATTTTGTTTCTCCTACACATGTATGAGGCATCAGACCTGTCAGTTACAGTATGAAGGAGGAGAGCTCCTCATTCGGGTAATAGAGCCCCCGATAGCCACTGCTCAGACTGGGGTACCAGTCCAGTAGTCCCCTTTGGTCCAACGAAAAACAGAAACACATTCCCCTTTGGTCCAACTTCTCAGAGTTTTTGTTGCTGTGAAAATAGATTCGATGAATTGATGGTTCTGATTTTCTCGTTTCGTAAAACCAAGTAAAATTACCAAACGCATGGGTAGCGTGGCCGAGTGGTCTAAGGCGCTGGATTAAGGCTCCAGTCTCTTTGGAGGCGAGGGTTCGAATCCCTCCGCTGCCAATCTTATGAATCTGCGTCCTTTCCTGTGATCACCCACCTTACAGCCAGAGACATGCAGTTGTCAAAGGATTACTGTAATTAAGAAAACTGGGCCACATATGGCGTCAAAAAGCATTTGTGGTGCAGTGGTGTACATAGCTGCCTTCCAAGCACTTAACCAGGGCTTGATTTCTGGCCAAAACAAGAAAGTCACATTTTTGTTTGCCCTGGTGACCGTCATCTGCTGCGAAAAACAAAGGCATGATTACGTACAAACACTTGGCAAATGCAACCACAGGTAAGTTGGAATGTGGAAGCCTGTAAGTGGAGGGCATCATAAGGCAATCAGCATGGGGGGTGGGAATGGCCAGAAATTGCATATACAGAAGTCGTGGTTAGTCGTTAGTTGATTGGTGGACATTTATATAACAGTGTATATGTGAATTCCGCGGTTGGAGAACCCGTGGTTAGCGATGGATTAAAGAAGTCCTCTCCTGCCCTTCAATGTTACCAGGAAAGCGGGACACAGGCAACACAAGGACTGATGTATCAGAGAATCAACCCAAAAGCATTGGTGGTATAGTGGTGAGCATAGCTGCCTTCCAAGCTGTTGACCAACCGGTGGAATGACAGGTGGCGTGGCCGAGCGGTCTAAGGCGCTGGATTTAGGTTCCAGTCTCTTCGGAGGCGAGGGTTCGAATCTCTTGGCTGCTATTGAAAACTTACAGAGATGGTCACCTCAGATTTGTAAGTTCCCTGTTGAATTTGAAAGAATACTTTACATCACCTTGAAGTATGACATGTTACTAAATAATATAATTCAATCATAACATAACCAAATTAGTATGACATTACACTCTCTGTACACTCAAATTCATACCTAATGAATTTCCCTGTTCTCAACAAGCCGTTTTCAGTTGGTGGGGTAAAAAGATTCCAAGCTTTGTTCTACGACCCCTTGTTTTGTTATTTAGCCTGGCAAGTTTTGAAATGCAGTAACTGTGTGCAGGACGAGAGCTCCTCATTCGGGTAATAGAGCCCCCGATAGCCACTGCTCAGGCTGGGGTATCAGTCCAGTAGTCTGATCCACGATTTTATGTAAACCGACAGCAGAATAGAATGGAATGCTATGGAACGGCAATGAATCCCTGGACGAGTGAAATTCCATTGTTATCAGTTCCCTAATTTTTTGGCTCATGCATACCTCTGTCACCAGAGGTGGGCAACCCCAGCTTCAGAGAGTAAATGTACTACCATGTGTAATTCTAATCAGCACAACTCTTCAGCCTGGTAGGTGAGCTAAGTAGTGAAATCACCTGGTTTTAGTGAATGGGCAGAAGAATATGATGCCCGCGTTCAACATGGTTTTGAAGGATCACTCAACAATTCAAGTTGTCCGGTATTGCACTTGTTTCATGATGCCTTCCGCTTGCAAGTTTCCCTGTTCCGACTTACTTGTGGTTAGATTTGCCAAGTGTTCGTAAGTAATCATGCCTTGGTTTAGGCAGCAGGTTACTCATAATTAATGTTGGTTTTCAGGCCCGATTAAAGTTCAGGCACTTTGTATTGGCCGGGAATCGAACCCAGGTCAACTGCTTGGAAGGCAGCTATGCTCACCACTATAACACCTGTCACCAGAGGTGGGAAACTCCAGCTTCAGAGTGTAAATGTACTACCATGTATAATTCTAATCAGCACAACTCTTCAGCCTGGTAAGTGAGCTAATTAGTGAAATCACTTGGTTTTAGTGAATGGGCAGAAGAATATGTTCTTCAGGATTTCTGGGAGCAAAGTTAACTTAACCAATATCAGAATTTTTTAGGAGCATACATGCGATGTAAGCTTCCACAGCATACTTCATATTAGGAACGATAATACGAATATTTTTCGTTAGTTTTTGTCGACAGGATTATCACTGGTGGGAGGGGCTGGCAATTGCATCAGGGTGATTGCCTTATGATGCCCTCCACTTACAGGTTTCCACATTCCGACTTACCTGTGGTTGTGTTTGCCAAGTGTTTTTATGTAATCATGCCTTTGTTTTTCGCAGCAGATGACGGTCTCCTGGGCAAACGAAAATGTGACTTTTTTGCATTGGGAAGAAATCAAGCCTTGGTCAAGTGCTTGGAAGGCAGCTATGTTCACCACTGCACCACAAATGCTTTTTGACGGTATGTGTGCTCCAGTTTTCTTAATTACAGTAATCCTTTGACAACTGCATGTCTCTGGCCTCAAGGTGGGTGATCACAGGAAAGGACACAGATTCATAAGGTTGGCAGCGGAGGGATTCGAACCCTCGCCTCCGAAGAGACTGGAGCCTTAATCCAGCGCCTTAGACCGCTCGGCCACGCTACCCACAACCACAGGGGGAGAAAAAGGTCAGAAAGCAAGCTTCATGTTTGACAGACTCCTACAGTGCCATATGAGCTCCCTTAATACTACTCATTTCATATTATTGTTATGTTTATAAAACTGTTCATGCTGCTTACTGAAGAAGAAATGTTTTTATTGTTTCACAGTTAATCAGCTCATTGGCCTTCAGTGCTCTTGAATTGGTAAACAATATAAATTCTAGTATTTCTGTAGTAACAATTATTGGGTGATATAAATATATAAATGAAACCCTCTTTATCCTCATAAATCACTAATGAATGCATTTTCACAGATATAATACATTGTATGATGCACTGCTCCTCAGGACAGATATCTCGAGATGATGCATTAGCATTTTGTCTTGCACCCAACAAGTATGTCTCTCAGTAACTCATTTCCTTTGTGTGACACTGTCCATATCCCAACACAGCTTTTCTGAAAGACCAGCAGTGTCAGACTGTCCATCTCTGTCTGTAACTGGTGCTGTAACCTAAGATATGGTTTGCTTTCTGATTATCTCTATATGAGGCTGACAGTAGCACTGGGATTATGTGCACACGGACAGCAGGAGAGAGCAAGCTGCAGCACTGCGCTTTGAGATAGTAATGAAGTGTTTGTCATTCCTTTGCAGGTCTGGAATATGAACTGTGTGTTAAACTCTTTCCTGGAGAGTGGGGGGTCTCTCCATTCTCTGTGATACCCTGTCTGACACCCCCACACACTGCTTTGGAGCTCTGAGCGATGTCACATGCTGCTCTCCCCCACTGCGAGTCCACCACTGCAGTGCGCACACACTCACACACAGGCACAGGCGCACACACACACAGGCATACACACACACTAACATATGCACACAGTCACAGGCACTCATACACGCACACACACAAACATATGCACACACTCACACACGCTCACAGGCACACACACACTCACAGCCACGCACACACATACTTTCACATGCACACACATGCACAGGCGCACACACTAACATATGCACACATTCACACACACTCACAGGCACACACACAAACTAACATACGCACACACTCGTGCACAAGCACACACACACATACTTCCACAAGCACGCACACACACACTCGCACATGCACACACACACACACTCACATGCACATCCACACACTCACACACGCACATGCGCACACACACCCGCATGCACACACACTCGAACACACTCATAGAAATGCTGCACACTGCTGCTCCCCACTCACCATACACGGGGCCATCTGATTGCTTGTTTAAGGCTTCCCAAGGATGTGGATGTAGAGGAGCTCCCATAATCCCCTGCACCACAGTTGCACTGGGCTGTCAGCATAGCTCTGTGCATTTTTTCGGCCTGTCTGAAAATTACTATTTGCCCTGTTCTGGTCTCAGAGGAACTTAGAAGCCCAGCCCAGACTGGATATTCACACAGAGAAACCATTTCAGGAACCTTATAATTTTTAGAATACATCATATGAGAGAGTGACAAATTATTGGTGGCGTTCTTTGAAAAGAATGCAATCATATTCAATACAGGAAATCAACTGAATACCTAAATTCACATGGTAATAGGTGTGAAATTAACATTTTTGTGTCACCAAAAAAGAAGTGGTGATGTGTTAAGAATCCACGTTATTACACAGAACTTTTCTTGAAAATGGAACTTCCATTTTAATGCTAATAACAGCTATCTAATATTATGGTACTTAGCTTGCTTTTGACAACCTAAAATTTACTTTTTATAAAAAGATAACAAAGTACCTACCTACAGATATCCTTGGGGGTCTATTCATGGCCCTGTGTGTGTGTGTGTGTGTGTGTGTGCGTGCGTGTGTGTGTGTGTGTGTGTGTGTTCAGGTCACTCTGCCACAAACTATACTAAACTACATCTTACACAATTTTTTTTACACTCTTATAAACAACTCTGCACCTGCTCAATTATATAAAAAAGTCTGTGATTTAACTGACCATAAATATATTTCATTAAATTCTAATCATGGTTATTCTATTCATGAAATCAAAGATGTGATACATGGTGGACAAGTAAGGAGTTTCAGTAACAAGCTTTACTTGTGTCCAGTATTCAGAGTGCAGGATGTTAAATGAAGGCATTATTTGTTACAACTTTTGGATTTAAGAGAATTATATTTATAATATTGCCATCTTTAAAATGTTGTGGCCCAAGTGATTATCAGCATATTTTATACATACAGGGCCAAATTTAATAAAGATTTGTGCTGTATGTGTGTGTGTGTGTGTGTGTGTGTGTGTGTGTGGTGGGGGTGGGCATAGTTAAAGTACTTAAGCACAGTTACTTTTAATCCATTCTAACATCCACTGTGGGAAATACTGGGTGGGTTTTGTGTTTTGCAGTGGTGTACCATGAGACTGCAAAATACTGGCGTCAGAGTAGGATATGAAAGTAAAGGCATGAGAAATTCCTAATTCATTTTATCAAACCAGATGGCAACTGAAAACCATCTACAAATCATGTAGTACTGTTGGACTGGTAGTGGAACCAAGAGCAAATAACCCTCTTATGGTGCCGTTTAGAACCAATTTTTAAGATGTATTGTCGAAGAAGTGAGAATTTCATGAAAAAATTTCAGCTGGTTCTAGCAATTAATGCCCTCGTTTAACTTCTGGCACTCTGAATACTGAACACAAGTGACGCGAACTACCAAAACATCTCTCTTAACCAACACTTAGAATAAGTCAAAATAGATTTAATTAAACAATTACTATTAAAAATATGAACCATAATTAAATCACCAAGTTCAAGATAGGGATGAGCAGTCTAGTGGATCAAGCTTAGCCAGAAATGTACACTTATAAAAGGAATACTTAAATAAGTTTATTGGACAAACACAACTTAGAGTCTACACTATAGACCTGGTCCACTAACTTGACGGACAGTGATAAAAGACTAATTACTGCAAATGAATATATTGGCTGCTCTGTTGACACAACTCAATGGTTAGTGACACAACTGTCATCAGGAGATTTCATTTTACATGACTGTCAACTTGAAGTGTGGTAACAAAAAGGGTAATGCGATCCAAACATATGCATACATACACACACGCACGCACACACAGGCACCCTCTCACGCTGCTTGTGCTGGAAGGGAAAGAGTGACAGTGAAAGAAGTGATGGCCCCCTACGATTAGGAGTGTTTATCAAAGGATTTTACATTTGGGGGCACATTAAGCTCACCAAGAAACAAAGAGTGTCATACCGTACCCAATTCCGCTTTAAACCGGTAACCCCAATTGAAGATCCATGTTAACCATCAATAATGTGGTGTTTAGGTATTTGATTGGGATCTTGAGAGAATGGTTGTTCAGTTTTAAGTGAGCGTGTGACCCTGTGATCACTGACTTAAAGGTATTCATGATTGTGAGCCACTGTTTACTCCCAAGCTGTTAGTTTATGTTATCTGCCCTCAGTCTCGCTGTAAGCTGGGCAGATGACCATAAAGGAAGTTAAGCAGGGCAAATACCCATAAAATGCAAGTTTCTCTCCCGACAGTATACAAATGAATTAACTTTGAGGAACAATTATCATTGAAGAATACATATTTTTATTTGGTTTTAATGTTGTGTATTTTTGCAGTGCTAAAGAGCTAACATAATTGAAGAAACAATATCAAAAGAATATTATGTGGGATTTAATATCACGATTATATATTTTATTATATGTTTTATTTTTATTGAACTCATTTTTATGCATAATATATTACAATGATGAACAAAAAATGAACCTAGATAAAAATATATCTCTGTCAACGTCATAGTTTTCTCAATTTGTCCCATGAACTAATGCATCAATTTCACAATGAATGATTATGATTATGAATGTGTCAATATGCAAAAGGGACTGTTGAGTCATTGTTAGCTGAATTTATGCTCAATTTTCATCCAAACAGTTTTGTTTTACATACAGTAAAATATCCAGGGGGCGAGTTTTCATAACTTATACTTTTGATGAGATGTTAATGTTTTATTACATGTATATGCATTAGATAATGGTAAAGGAATAAAGTTAACAAGTGACACCTGGACTTATTAAAAGATTTAGTTTCCCAGTGGGATAATTGTTCTGGCTTTTTTACATGGCACAAGTAAATCTTGGACTGGATTTTCAGTCCCAGACCTAATAGCCTGCGTATCGCAGACTGCCAAATGATGGCCATCTGACAAACATTCTGCTCCAGAGCCAAGGGCAGATTGGGATGTCTTTTCTTAAGCGGTGCTACTTCA